TTTTCAGTGGCTATGTTGTGTAGCCTTGTGGATGCCGCACTGCTCCGTATCTTTATCCTTGAAACGTTTCGCTACACAGTAGGCTCTGTCTTCAGTCAAATACAGGAGGCAGCAGGTGAAAGATTAATGTAATCAACGATCCATCAACCTTCGGAGATATGAGGGGTCAGTCCCCAGCTGGACGAAGAGTTCAGTGTCATGCGTCTGGAAAACAAGGTGGTCAGATCCCTCAGCTGGAGAAGAGTCCCAGCTTCATGGTCTGGAACAAGGTGAGTCAGTCCTCTCAGCCTGGCAGAAGAGTCTAGTCTCTCATGGTATGGAACAAGTGTGGTCTCAGTCCCTCAGCCTGGAGAAGGAAGAGTCCAGCTTCCATGGTCTGGAACAAGGTGGTCAGATCCCTCAGCCTGGAGAAAGAGTTCTGCCTTCCATGGGTCTGGAACAGGTGGGTCAGTTCCCCTTTTTTCAGCATGGTGAAGAGTCCAGCTTCTATGGTCTGCGGGAACAAGGTTGGTCAGGCCCTTCAGCTGGAGAAGAGTTCTGACTCCAAGGTCTGGAACAGAAGGTGGTCTGTCCTCAGCGGAGAAGAGTCCAGGTTTAATGAGTCTGGGAACAGAGGTGGTCAGTCCCTCAGCCCTGGAGTTAATGAGTTCTGCTCCAATGGTCCTGGAAAAAAAAGGATGGTCAGATCCTCAGCTGGAGAAGAGTCCAGCTTCATGGTCTGGTAACAATGGCTAGGTCAGTCCCTCAGTCCTGGAGGAAGAGTTCTGGCTCCATGGTCCTGGAACAATGTTGTCAGTCCTCAGCTCTGGAGAATGAGTCCACGCTTTCATGGTTCTGGAACAAGGTGGTCAGTCCTCAGCCTGGAGAAGAGTTTCTGCACTCCATGAGTCTGGAACAAGGTGGTCAGTCCCTCAAGCCTGGAGAGAGGAGTCAGCTTCATTGGTCTGGAACATAGGTGATCAGGTCCCTCAGCCTGGGAAGAGTCCAGCTTCATGGTGTCTGGAACAAGGTGGTCGCTGTCCCTCCGCCTGGAGGAAGAGTTCTCTCCATGGTCTTGGAAACGAAGTGCCTGGCAGTCCCTCAGCCTGGAGAAGAGTGTCTGATCCATGGTCTGGAAACAAGGGTGTCAGTCCCTTCAGCCTGGAGGGAAGAGGTCCAAGCTTCTATGGTCTGGAACAGGGGTGTCAGTCCTCAGCCTGCGAGAAGAGTCCAAGCTTCATGGTCTGGAACAAGGTGGTCAGTCCTCAGCCTGGAGTTAGAGTCCAGCTTCATGGGTCTGGAACAAGGGGTTCAGTCCCTCAGTCTGCGAGAAGAGTCCAGCTTCATGGTCTGGAAACAAGTGTGATCAGTCCCTCACCTGGAGAAGATGTCCAGCTTCATGGTCTGGAACAAGGTGGTCAGTCCCTCGGCTGGAGGAAGAGTCCAGCCTTCTTGGTTGGAACAGTGTTGGTCAGCCCTCAGCATGGGGAGAAGAGTCCAGCCTTATGGTCTGGAAACCAAAGTACGTTGGTCGTCCCTCCGCGAGAAGAGTCCAGCATTCATGGTCTGGAAACAAAGGTGGTCAGTCCCTCAGCCTGGAGAAGAGTCCAGCTTCATGGTCTGGAACAAGGAGGTCAGTCCTCAGCGCTGGGAAAGGACGTCCAGCTTCATGGTCTGGAACAAGGTATCAGTCCCCTCGCCTGGAGAAGAGCAGCTTCTATGGTCTGGTACAAAGGTGGTTCTAGTCCTCAGCCTGGAGAAGAGTCCAGCTTCATGGTCTGAACAAGGTGGTCAGGGTCCCTCAGCCTGGAGAAGAGTCCTGCTCATGGTCTGGAACAGGTGTATCCCTACTTGCCGGAGAGGGAGTCCAGCTTCATGGTCTGGAACATAGGTGGTCAGTCCTCTCAGCACTGGAGAAGAGTCCAGCTCATGGTTTGGAACAAGAGGTCAGTCCCTCAGCCGGATGAAGAGTCCAGCTTCTTGGTTCTGGATGACAAGGTGGTCTGTCTCCTCAGCCTGGAGTAGAGTTCAGCTTCATGGCTCTAGAACCAAGGTATGGTCCAGTCCCTCAGTTCCTGGAGAAGAGGTCCAGCTTTCATGGTCTGGAACAATGGTGGTCAGTCCCTCAGCTGGAGAAGAGTTCTGCTTCATGGTCTGGAACAAGGTGGTTCAGTCCCTCAGCCTGGAGAAGAGTTCAGCTTCATGGTCCTGGAATCAAGTCATGGTCAGTCCCTCAGATGGAGAAGAGTCATGCTTAATGGTCTGGAACAAGGTGGTCAGTGCCCTCAGCCTGGAGTAGAAGAGTTCAGTCATGGTCTTGGAACAGAGTGGTCAGTCCTCGCCTGGAGAAGAGTCCAGTCTCCATGGTCTGGAAACAATGGTGGTCAGTCCTCTAGCCTGGAGAAGAGTCCAGCTTCATGGTTCTGGAAACAAGGTGGTCAGTCCTCAGCTGGAAGATAGGAGTCCAGCTTCATGGTCTGGAATCTGGAACAATGTGAAAACTCGTTCCAACAACAAAGACAAACTGCTGTGGTCAGATTTGTAGGCTTCGAGTGGTTGCTATCGTAGAATAAAACCAGCCGTCCTGGGGTTGCTTGGAATGACCACACAGGGTTTACCGCTGCCACATAAAAGCCTCACAACGGTAAAGCGTTCTCCTAATTTTACCCTCAGAGGCCATGGCAGCTACACCCACAACAGCTGGATAAACACGAAAACGAAAAAAAAATCATGGCAAAAGGCATGATAGATAAATAAATTTAACAATCAATTCCAACAACTTAGAATAAAATGATGATAACGTAAACATCTACTTACATAAACAATCATATCTCTTATATACGTAGAATATTCTACATATATTAAACAACTCTTCGTACATGCCTAAAGATCAATCTACTACATGCCTAAACAATCTACGTACATCATAGCCCTAAACACAATTACGTAATCAGCCTAAAAATCTCGTACTATGCCTATACAATGCTACGTACATGCCTAAACTCAATCTACGTACATTGCTCTACAAACAATCTACGTACATGCCCTAAACAATCTACGTACATGCCTAAACTATCTACGTACATGCTATATCAATCATATCGTACGTACATGAATAGTCTACTTACGCATATTAGGTGGAATTTCATTGCAGGAGAGAACTCTTGACGCTTGGCGCGTAAATTCTTGGAAAAATTATATGGAATTTCCACATGTCTAGAAGTCTCGAAACTCAAAATTACTTGTTATTATTTATCCCTGGGTACCGTACTTAGTCTAGGTGGACAGGGATAAGATAGTTTTTTGCTGGGATTTTTATCCGTAGATGCTAGAAATGTTCATAACTTGACCATAATTTTAAAAAGGGTGGAAGGGTAAGCCAGCAAGAAGGCCCGCGTCAGAAGACCTAAATGCTCCAATGAGCGGGTCATTAATCTTAAGGAACCGTCATGGACCTGTTTCTGACGAACCTTACTAATCTTGGTAACCTGTTGATTACTAGGGCTCTGGCGACCTAGGTAACCTGTTACTGCTATGTGGTGAACAGGGCGGGCAGCAGGTGAAATACGAAACGTGAGCCCCCCATAGTTTTTACCCATGGCCAGAGGCGACCCCTTGATCTTCCTGTGTGGTGTTGGTGCCATAACTGTCAAGTAGCTGGTTGGTAGCGCACTCAGCTCACACATACTGAGGTCCACATGTCGATTCCCGATACAGGTGAAAACATTAGATCGTATTTCCTTAAGACATCTGCTGTCCCTGTTCACCTAGCAGTAAAATAGGTACCTGGGTGTTAGCCAACTGGTGCGGGTCGCATCCTGGGACAAAATTAACTTAATTTGCCCGAAATGCTCTGTATAACAAATAACTTTCTATATATTATTATTATAATCAAAAAGAAGCGCTAAGCCACAAGGGCTATACAGCAACTTTCTATATAGTATGTCACTGGTGTCAGCTATGGTCTGTATAAGTTGTATCATATACTTGTAAAAATAAAGATTATTATTATTATTATTATTATTATTATTATTATTATTATTATTATTATTATTATTACGTTGAATGGAGAATAAATAATGATAATTTGTTAAAAGGAACATTTCAGTTTACGATGCAAATAACGGAACAATACCGTGAGTTAGTTACGAACTGTTCCGGCCTCTATATAACGACACTTACCTTTTTTTTTTAATTTGCAAAGTGGTCAATTTGCGTGTACAGTCTGTAACCAGCCATACCCGTTACCTATGTAATTTATGTTTATCAAAAGAACAGGTCTAGCTAGTGGCCTCAGAGGCACGCCACTGCCTACGTACATGTTGCTCTCGTGTATGTTGTGGCTACGGGATTTTGGTGAATAATAGTAATAATAACAATAATAATAATAATGACTATTACTACTACTACTACTACTACTACTACTACTAATAATAATAATAATAATAATAATAATAATAATGACTATTACTACTACTAATAATAATAATAAAAATAATTGCTACTACTAATAAAAATAATTACTATAACAATAATAATTACTACTACTATTAATAATAATAAATACTACTACTATTACTACTACTAATATAATAATTACTACTACTATTAATAGTAACAATCATAATAATGATTACTACTGCTACTACTACTACTAATATAATAATTACTACTAATAATAACAATATAATAATTACTACTACTAATAATAGTAACAACCATAATAATGATTACTACTGCTACTACTAATAATTACAATAATAAAATGAAATTGAAAATACATACACCAAATGAACAAGGGCTTCTCGTGTCTTCTCTTTCCAACGTCACTCGAGCAAAAAAAACAAGTGTCCTGTGCCCAGGGTGTTACCTGTCTATTAAGCTGTCAAGCAGAAACTCATTTCTAGAAATATAAATGTCTGGCTTCCTAGGATGTCTTCCGCCTACAAGCATCGGGGGTAAAAAGTCACCTTGGTGGAGCACAGGCGACAACAGGGATCTGAGAGGCAATGCTTGTAGCCGCTGTCAGCGTGGATATATAAGAAGAGCCTTGCTACTCTCCTGGCAGTCAGTCTACACTCTTCTACGCCATGAGGACTGTTGTAAGTTGATGAACACTGTCAATGGGGTGTTAATGGGGCGTTAGCAAGGTATCAACGCGGCGTTTGATTGGCGTTAATGTTTTGTTAATATGTTGTTAGTATGTTGGCATAACGTTCAAATGTTATTTTAGCAAGGCAACTTCTAAGAAGTTGCTAAAAATGTTTATCAGAATATTTGATTACGGAGATGACTATGGCTTCCCTTGTCACAAAACATCGTCAATCACGAGGGAAAATAAGCAAACTTTTAGTGTACTTACACTGAGAGATAAACACTTGTCGGTGTATGTAGGTTACCTTGTGTGTTCATTGTTAGGTTTTCTAAGTCGTTCTATGGTGGGTTCTTAGCAGACACCAAGCGGTACGTTGTCCCCAGTTGTGGGCTCTGTCTAGGGCATCTTCATAGACATAAATGGTAATGGTCTATCAGAAGTCCTTCACTAGCTGAAGAATCAGGCACCTGAGCAACAGTCACATCTCTAGCTTTAAGCTTTAATTCCCTTCCTTGTATTAATGATGCAATAAAGTGGTAATTCTGGTATAGATTTTGATCATGATGTTATTTTCTTCAGTAAGTAATAAGAGTGTTGGTTGGACAGGTGTGTGTGCTTCTCGCAGTTGCTGGACTAGCGTCCGGCCGAGTGCCAGCCAGTTTCCAGGATCCTGCTACCCTCTCTGTTGATGCCTCTCCCGGAGGTCCACCTTCTGCAGGTGCCTCTCATGGTGCTGCTGCCGCGGCTCCCGCTGCTGCTGCAGGTAGACTGGCTCCCACACAACAGAATTTGGGCCCAAATTTCTTCGGTCCAGGACTCAACAACCCGTTGGCCGTCCCTGTCCATCCCTTGGTGGCACAACAAGCACAGAGGATAACAGCTGCTAACCCCAATCTTAGAGTGGTGAGTAGAGATTAAAAATTTTATTAGTTTTGCTACTGGACGAGACCGCTATGATTCATACAATTTCATTTAAATTTAGAAATACGAATCATAATGTATTAAGACTGAGTCTTATGCTGTAAGTATCTAAGTGAACATGTATTACAACATTCAATTTATTTTCTTGACTCATAATCTATTTTGTCTATGTTTGCAGTTTGTTGACATTGACGGCTCAGCGCATTTCACCGACCAGTTCGGCCGAGAAGTTGAGGAAGTTTTGGATGAATTTGGCCGCGATGTCAGTGATTTTCTGGACATTGAGGAACTGCATGAGCAGCTTCTTCGAGCTCAGAGGCAGCAGCTCAACCTGCAGCTGCTTCAGCAGTTCAACACCAACCCCACACCTTTTGACCAGACTGTTGGAGGTGCTGCTAGATCAGCTGATATTGGTGGGGCAGCCAGCGCTGGAGGACAGTCTGCTATTGGCAACAGATTTCAACAACGACCATTTTACACAATCGTTCTGTAAAGCCTCTTAAAACACCACACTAATACGACCTTTCGTAGTTGACACCTAGATGAATCCATCTCTTGATTCCACTCTAACTTTACTTCCCAACACTCTAGCTCACCTGGTCCATCCTATCACCTGATGTTATACGTAGCCTGATCCTCTGTTTCAACTCATCCTTAATCTAGTTAAGAAATGCTGGCCACAGGTTCCTGTTGACCTGTCATCTGATCCTCCAAGTAACCTGATCCTCCTTGTATATTACCTGTTTCTCTACGTCAACTGATTCTCCCATTACCTGATCCTCTTCCTGTTATATTTTTCCCGTTTCTCCGTCACTGTTACCCTCCTCTCTATCTAACCTTTATATTGCTGTTGACCTGTAGCCTGTCTCAAGACTACCTGCATTTAGTCTATCCCTCTATACTATCCCATTGCTCTCTCCTAGCATAGGATCTTCACCATTCCAGTGGTTTAGTCCAGTGCGTTGGACACCTGTGTTCATTGGACACATGCATACATTTGATACCTGTATGTTAATAAAGTACATTTATATAATTTATTTAATAATGAAACTGACAACTGTTTTACACTCCTTTGTCGTATTTAAATTTTAAGTAAATGTTGATTTCGGAGCTAAAGTGAATGAGAAAGATTATAAGTAATAATACTTGAGTATACCTTGCTATATTATTGTGATGGAGTACGTGTATGCTTGAGTATACCTTGCTATATTATTGTGATGGAGTACGTGTATGCTTGAGTATACCTTGCTATATTATTGTGATGGAGTACGTGTATGCTTGAGTATACCTTGCTATATTATTGTGATGGAGTACGTGTATGCTTGAGTATACCTTGCTATATTATTGTGATGGAGTACGTGTATGCTTGAGTATACCTTGGTATACTATTTTTACGCTTGAGAAATATTGCTAGCATGGGTTGATATGCCCAACTAACACACACATATATGCCGCGGTGTAAATGTCATATATATCAGCTTTACGTACATGATTACGTACATGCGTTGACTAACACGAACATAAGAACATAAGAACATAAGAACGAAGGAACACTGCAGAAGGCCTACTGGCCCATGCGAGGCAGGTCCAAGTCTCCTACCGGCTTAAGCCAATGCACCCAACCTAGTCAGGTCAGGTCACATTGACTTAAGGAAGGAACACGACAACCGACCTGGTAGCACAAGCTATCAGGTCTAACTCACACCCACCCACATCTACTCATGTATTTATCCAACCTATTTTTAAAGCTACACAACGTTCTGGCCTCTTATACGGTACTTGGGAGTTTGTTCCACTCATCCACAACTCTATTACCAAACCAGCAGTACTTTCCTATATCCTTCCTGAATCTGAATTTTTCCAACTTTAAAACCATTGCTGCGGAGTCCTGTCTAGGCTAGATATTTTCAGCACACTATTTACATCCCCTTTATTTATTCCTATCTTCCATTTATACACCTCAATCATATCCCCCTAATTCTACGTCTTTCTAGAGAGTGCAGATTCAGGGCCCTTAGTCTATCCTCATAGGGAAGGTTTCTGATACATGGGATCAACTTTGTCATCTCCTTTGTACATTTTCCAGAGAATTTATATCCATTCTGTAATAAGGTGACCAAAACTGTGCAGCATAATCTAAATGAGGCCTAACCAAGGATGTATAGAGTTGAAGAACAACCTGAGGACTCCTATTATTTATGCTTCTTGATATGAAGCCAAGGATTCTATTAGCTTTATTGCGAACACTTATGCACTGTTGTCTTGGTTTCAGATTACTGCTAACCAGAACTCCTAAATCTTTTTCGCAATCCGTAATATTAAGATCTACATTATTTAGTTTATATGTGGCATGGTTATTGTCCTGTCCAACATTTAGAACTTTGCATTTGTCTATATTAAACTGCATCTGCCACTTCTCCGACCACTGCATCAGTCTATTCAAATCTTCCTGGAGTGCTCGAATGTCCTCGTCAGAATGAATTCGACGGCCTATTTTGGTGTCATCGGCAAACTTGCCGATGTCGCTCTTTATGCCCTCATCTATGTCGTTTATGTAGATTGTGAACAGCAGGGGGCCCAACACTGACCCCTGTGGAACACCGCTCGTGACACTTCCCCACTCTGATTTCTCCCCATTTATGCAGACTCTCTGCTGCCTATTTGTCAACCATGCCTCTATCCAGGAAAAAATTTCTCCTCCTATTCCATGTGCTTTAATTTTTCCTCAATAGTCTCTGATGTGGGACCCTGTCAAAAGCCTTACTGAAGTCCATATACACAATATCATATTCATTACCATGATCTACCTCCTCAAATACCTTAGTGAAAAAAGTTAATAAATTCGTAAGGCAGGAACGCCCCTTTGTAAAACCATGCTGAGATTCGTTGATTAATTTATGCTTTTCAAGGTGGTTACGAACTGCCCGGCAATTTATTGATTCCAAAAATTTTTCCCACAGGAGGTTAGGTTATTGGTCTATATTCGAAGCAAAGGCCCTGTCACCTGTTTAAAATAGGTAACTTTTGCCTTTTTCCCATTTTCTGGCACATCCCGTTTGTAGTGATATTTTGAAAAGATTACCCAAAAGGGTGTGCTAAGCCCCTCTTACATTCCTTTAGAACCCTTGCATACGTTCACAGGGCCTGGGGTTTGTTAGTTTTTAATTTATCTATTTGCCTAAGGCCAGTCATTGGACCCTAACAGTCCCAAAGTTTATTATGTCCTGTTCTACTAATTTTCTTTTGGAATTCGCTGGTATCTCCTTGTAAAAAACTGAGGAAGAAGTGTTAAATATTTACAATTTCCTTATCACTGTCATGGCTGCCCCGAGGAACTTTTGAGTGGGCCTACTTGTCCCCGATCTTACTCTGTTACCTGAAAAAACCTTTTTGGGGTTGTCTTCGTTCTCTTGCAACTTTAAACCTTTAAAACTCTTTTTGCTTTTTTAATTTCCCTTTTTTTTTTTTTTCTTTAAATGAATATACGATTTTCAATTGCCCCTCCCTCTTTTTTATTTGCCTATATATGCCCTTTTTTTGACCAATAATATTTTAATCATTGTTCACCATTTAGGATATTTTTTTTTTGATTGATTTCCCTATTGGAACATATTTGATGAGCAGCTAGAACTTCCTGGAAAGCATCATATCGGCAACATCCCACCTACCTGCCCTTAGTCAGGTCTTCCTTCAGCCCACCTAAGTAATTTTTTTAGTCCTATGAAATCAGCCCAAGCGAAAGTCAGGGGGCGGGGACTTGATTTCCCTTATTAGGGGGGTTCCCTGATATATTAAAACTGAGTGATTTGTGATCATTTTTCCCCAAGCTCATCATTAACCTCAAGATTATTAATTAGTGTTTCCCTACTGGCAAGAACCAAGTAAAGGGAGGTTTATTTCCCCTAGTTGGCTCTGTCACAAACTGTTTTAAAAAACAATCCTGGATCGTATAAAGAAAGTCACCTGACTCTAAATTTCCTGTAAAATTTGGGCTCCAGTCAATCTGTCTATAGTTGAAATCTCCCATTAGCACAACATTTTCGTATGTAGATGCCTTACGAATTTCGTCCCATAGAAGTTTCCCTGCATTTCCCTATCAAGATTTGGGGGCCCTGAAAAATCACACCCAAAATTAGTTTTTTTCTCGGCCCTCGAGAAGCTGTAACCAAACAGATTCAGTGGCTGACGCTTCTAATTTAATATCTTGTCTAACACAACAATTTAATTGTCTCTGACATACATCGCTACTCCCACCACCTTTCCTGTTGACCCTGTCAGTGTGGAATAATTTATAGCCTTGTATGTGACATTCAGAGGGCATCTCTCTATCTTTCAGATTGAGCCAGGTCTCTGTTATAGCAAAATATCAATGTTTCCTGCACTGCAATTAATCTTAGCTATCTATCTTATTTCTTACACTCCTGCTATTAGTATAGAAAACCTTAAGGGAGCTAGTCCCTTGCTGCCCTTTGCTGTCCCCCTTTTTTTGCTGACCTGATTTATTGTCTTTATTTATAACTTCACCCTGAATGCCTTTTATACCTTTTTTAAATGTTTCCAACCCAAGTGTTGCAACCTGCTTGTTTCCCACACACACCCATACCTCTATCTTCCATCAGTTTAAAATCAAAGGCATTTCACCAATGGCCTTCTCAATCGAGTCTGCAAGTGCTACCACCCCAGCCCCAGAGAGATGTACCCCATCCCTTGCATACATATCATGTTTGCCATAAAAGTTGTTCCAGTTGTCAATGAATGGGATTGCAAGTTCCTTGCAGTATCTGTCTAGCCAGCAATTTACACCAATTGCCCTAGACAACCATTCATTTCCTACTCCCCTTCTAGGCAAGATGCTACATATGATTGGGATCCTCCCTTAGACTTAATGAAATCTATAGCTGACCTGTACTTATCTAGCAGCTCTTCTCTCCTACCCTTCCCAATATCATTTCCACCAGCACTGAGACAGATAATGGGCTTGCTCCCATTACCTGACATGATATTATCCAGCTGTTGACAATGTCCCAACACCAGCTCCAGGGAAGCACACTCTATCTCTCATCTTCTTATTCCTATTACAAAAAGCACGGTCAATGTATCTTACCTGAGAGTCACCAACCACAAGAATGCGCTTACCTCCATTAGCAGGGGCAGTAGTACCCTTACCTTCACTGGCCACTGAAGTACATTCATCCTGAAGAACAGAGAAGCGATTTCCTACCTTCAGATCTTCACTCTTAACTTTCCTTACTTGATGCGCCTTCCATTACTGTGAACTACTCGCCACTTGTAGCAGGTGCTGGGCTGCACCTCACTGCTGGTAGCCGTTGCTGCCTCCCCAACTACAGCCTCCTCACAGCGAGAGACAGACTGCACCTCTCTGCTAGAAGCCTCATTCCCCACAACTCCAGCCACCTCACACTCTCTCCCCAGACCCATGAGGTGGACCTTCAGCCCTCCTAATCTCCTCCTGGAGAAGCAAGACCTCCTCCTTCAACTCTTCTCAACCCTCAATTTTTAAACAACTGCAGAAGCAAGCCATGCCTTTGAAACCGTCCACACTAATACCCCAAAGCACACAGGGTTCTGTGACCTCACGTGACGACTGACATGCCACTGAGCCAACGCACATATATTCACCAAATCCCGTCCTTGCGTGTCATACGTAGCAAGGAAGAAAAAAGACCATATCATCGTCTAGGTAATATTTAAATATTTACATCGACACCATGCCCAACCCTTCTAAGGGTAGGGTAGGTGCCTGAGCCCGAGCCTTTAGCTCATAAGACTGTCATTCCCATTAGCCCCCTTGGTGGCGGGGATGGCAGACCAGAGAGGCCTAGCTTGTGAGCTAGGCCTGGGGACAGTTGGTCCCAAAGATGAGGAGGTACTTGTGGGAGACTTAGGTCTCAGACACTCCCAAGACAGGGAACCAAAAGCCGGTCACCCACTATGGAAAAGGCCGAACCGGGAGAATACGGCGAATTTTC